GCAAGTCACTTTTCTGGGCATCATTTTTCTCATGAGTATTAAAATTCTGGTAGTGTTTACAACCTTGTATGTATCTAACAGGCGTTATTTTGTGATTTTAGAATCTAATGAAGGGGGTTGTGTATACAGCTGAGTGACAGCACTTGTCTAGCACACTCAAGGCCCCCAAGTTCTATCCCCAGCATTAAAAAAAAAAAAAAAGAAAACCTTATAAGAAAAAAATTATGAATTAAGAAAAATCAGACTAATTTTTTTTCATTACACATAGTCTCTAAGGTGCAATTCTATTTGAATACAGATTGTAATGCCTTTTTACATACACATCTTCTCTTTTCTGTGGTTGTCCTAAAAATTCTGTTTCCTGATCATCATTTTTCCCCTCTGTAGAGTCCTCCCAACTAAACAGTGTTTGGTATAAATTGGGTTCAATAATACTTGTTGAACTAACATTTTAGAATCCATTTTCAGAACATAGCAATGGATACTTGGGGGGAGGGGTGGACATACAGATTACTTCAATTTTCTTCTACTCTTCTGAATTTTTTTTTTTGGGGGGGGGTGGAGGCTGGGGATTGAAAACCCAGGGGCACTTACCACTGTGCTATATTCCAGCCCTTTTTATTTTTATTTTTTATTTTTGAGACAGGGTTTCGTTAAGTTGCTTTGGGCCTCATTAAATTGCAGAGGCTGGCCTCGAACTTGTGACCCTCCTCCTGCCTCAGTCTCCTGAGTCCCTGGTATTACATAATTGCGCCACTACAACCCAGTGTATTTGTTGGATTTCAAACAAAGCAAACCCCAAACCAAAACCTCTCCTAGTAAGGGGACACCGTTTCCCTAAGATCGATCCACTCCCCTTCCTAAGCGTGGCATAAGCTGCACAATGAACGTTCCTTCTCTTCTTCTTTGGTGCCCAAAAGCATCCACAAAAGAGAAGAAATACTAATTCTGAAGGGAGTCAGCTCGTCCCTTCTAAGTGAAGATGAAAGATAGTCCGGAAGGAAAAAATCCCGGCTAGACGCCTCTGTCCCTCTCCACCTCAAACGCCCCAGCCTCATTCCCAGCTCCAGCCAGGCGCAAAACACAACCCCAGCCAGGCGTAACATCACGCCAGGCCTTGTGCGCACGCGCCCTCACTCCCGCCCCGCCCCTGGAAAACTCCTGGGCACACCAGGCCGCCCGGTCAGAACCTTTTTAGGCTCTGTGCACGCACAAGCGAAGGCGGCCTTCGAGGGAACCAGTGTCTTTTCTCCCCCTAGCGGACTACAATGGAACAATAGGACTTTGGGAGACGTTCTGAATGGGATGATGGGATACTGGTCTTTGAAGAGGAGTTTTGACATCCTTTAGGACCTGACCTCGTTTTTACAGCACCTCTCTAATTTTCCAAGAACAGAGCAAGGAAAGGGGAAGGACACCCACTTTGAGCTCCTAATGTGTGCTAGACCCTCCACACATATTATCACATCTTCCCAAGAGTTCCTTTGAGTTATTAGACCTATTTGATAGAGAAACAGGTTCAGAATAGATGATTTACCCAGAGTAGCACAGGTAATTAGTGAGGAGACAGGAGCCCAGGTCTGTGTACTCCAGAAGTTCTGATTACAGCCTAACCTGTTAGGGTTGGGATCCTGGACCTAGAGAAAAGAGAGCCACTTCTGTCTAGATGAGAAAGCTCTACAAGAACTCTGAAGTTTACACAGTCATTTGTAGAAAAACTTAATAGATTGTAGAGGAGGCTCACTGTGACCCAGCAAGCATCACTCCCTAACATTACAGCTTGTTGGCATTAGAATTCTTCAGACCAGTCCCCATGTTTGATTTATCAGGCAAGAAACCAACTAGTCTAGAAGCTATAGGTGTTCAAGGCAAGACTTTTCCAGGTATCTGAAAACATATTCCTTCTCCAGGGATTAAAGGATGAGGGAGGGCAAGAGAGGGAAGGAACTCAAGTTGGGGTGGAAATCCTCATTGGTGAGGGATACTGCAGGTTAATGTGAGTTCAGACAACTATGCAATTGTTAAGGGATGAGAGAAGCAGTTTCTACAACTCAYATCTGGTGACCAGATCTTTAGTTGAGTCATCCCATCCAGATGATGCCATAGTCTCCTCTTGACATTTGTTTGAGATAGTAGTGGGTCGTAGGAGTGATAATGTGTATTTTCTTTTTCTTTTGGTACTGATGATTGAACTCAGGGCACTGAACAACTGTGCCATATCACCAGCCCTATTTTGTATTTTATTTAGAGATAGGGTCTCATTAAGTTGCTTAGAGCCTTGCTTTTGCTGAGGCTGGCTTTGAACTCATGATCCTCCTGCCTCAGCCTCCTGAGCCATTGGGATTACAGGCATGTGCCCCCTGTGCCTGGTGAGAATGTGTATATTAAGGCAGAGGCTGCAGGTCTTTGGCCTGGAATGTGAACACTAAGATACCCTTAATCAAGTAGCCAGAGATGTTAATTAGGCAGCACAGGGTGCCAGGGATATAGGGAGAGCCTACAATCATACTGTCAAAGGAAAAAGGTCCCCTGTGATACCCAAAGTTCCAAAGACTCCATGTGAAGGGATAGAATGATGATACAAGCAGAAGCTGTGATTTGTCAGGATTGGTGGACCCTTGGGAATGCTGAAAATCCATCCATGATTCAACTGAAGCAAAATGGCATCAGGTAGCTGCAGACACTAAATCTTGAAAAGGGAAAAGAACAATTTCAAGTCAAACCAAAATTAGAAGCTGTGAATATAGAAAAGTATATTTTAAAAAGTTGTTGGGGAAAAAACATATTGAAGGCCCCAAATGTATTCAAAATACAAAAACCTCAGGTGACAGAACAAAAAGGCTAAATGAATGACTAGCCAAAGGAAAGAACTCCCCAAAGAGAAATGAAGAAAAGCAAACTGAATTTCCAAGGAAACCAAGGGCGAAATTGTAGAAATGCCAAAATCAAGTGAGCCAGAAAACAGGCAGATTGTTTTGATGATTTTCTCATGATTCCTGAGGAGGCTCACAAAATAGTGGTTTTCACTTCTTTKCAGGGTAACTGGGGAGAGACCAGAAACTAGAGGCAGGCTTGTGACATACCTAAGAGGAACTAATGTGAGAAGACTACATGATTTCTAGAAGGAAGGGTATTAACTGATGCCTATGGGTGGGGGTGAGATGGAGTCTAGGATTGTCAGATTGACTTGGATTGGAATCCTAATTTTTCCACTTAAGAACCATACACACAGCTGGGTTCAGGCCAGGCACAGTAGCACACACCTGTAATCTCAGCAACTCTGGAGGCTGAGGCAGGATTATTTCAGGTACAAGGCCAGACTCAGCAATTTAGCAAAGCCCTAAGCAACTCAATGAGACCCTGTCTTAAAGTAAAAAAGGATGGGGATATGGCTCAGTGGTTAAGCATCCCTGAGTTTAATCCTGTTTTTTTAAAAAAAATCACATCCATACTTGGACAATTTATTAATGTAATCAAACGTCAGTCTTCCTATGTGAAAAGGGAGATAGATGATCTACTTTATAGGGTTGATAGGGTTGACTACATGAAATGCATACGGAATGCTGGCACATGTAGCACACATGATCTTAGTGGGCACTTCCCTGAATAAAATCTAAATAAAGTTCATCCACATTCTTAAAGATTGACTTGGAAGGTTGGAGAAGAGGATTTTTTTTTTAAAAAGGGAGATAACGCATATTTACATAAGGCAAGAGTTTTTAGGGAACAAGAATCCAATTGTGTTTTTGACTAGCCTGCCATCTTTCCCATCTTGATTCCCAAGGTCTCTCTGTATTACTCAGTTCACAGAGAACTGCAGAGAACTTTGTACACTATCACTTCCTAATATTTATTCTAACTGTATCATAAAATGCTCAAGTAAACACTGCTGCCAAACTATCCATTATATTCCAGATCTTGGGTGGTGGTCACAGATCCCCAAAGACCTGACAGTCAAAGTTATAAAAATTAAGGGTAGTCATCAGCAGGGTGCAAAGACCAACCACAAAGCTAATACCACCCTTCCCCAGAGGCCAGGTTTGGCCACAGTTGGAATTGTCTATGGTTTGGTTGTGCGCACAACAAAACCGACCTCAGGAAGCTGTGCAGAAGCAGCTCAAATTTTCAAGTGAATAGAAAAGTGTTTTCCTGAGAAAACATGGACTCCAGAGTGTGGGAAGCAGAGGGCAGAGCAGTGATACAATCTAAACTGCAAAACCTTTACAGGATAGCATTGTCATGGTTTGCTCTCCAAACCAGAGCTTTAAAACAAGAAGGCATTCTTCTTGAAAACAGTTCTTAAGACAAATAAATACTATTTGGAATGCTGAATACATCCTGCCAGAGGCAGGTAACAAGACTGGAATGAAAATAAACAGGTAGGTGCAATAAGTTTGAGCAACACACTACCAACAGAAATGGGCTCCTTGGGAGAACTTTCAAATAAGTGAGGTGACTTAAGACACAGACCTCCCCACCCGACCCAAATCCTTCTGAATCCATCAGCAATAGCCAGTTGGGGACCAACAGGCTACAGTCCCTCTACCTCCCCTCACAATTCTCCCTCTTTACTTTATACAGAACATTCAGAGCGGTGCTGGGAGTAGAGATGAAGACCCTGGGTAAGCAAAAATGAAATAAGRGAAAGAATGGTAATGCACTTTCTGGAAAGAGGAGACTGGGGGATGTAGCTCAGCTGGTAGGAGAGAACACCTGAAGACAGGAGACATGAGGTTGTCAGTACATGAAAACAAGATGAAAACTTTTTTCTTTTTTTGGTGCTGGGGTATCAAACTCAAGGCCTCACACATTTGGCAAGCACTCTACCACAGAGCTACACCCCAAGCCCTGGAAACATTCTTACATATTTGATTAGGGCGGTGAGAGCATGGAAACATAAATACAAAAAAATTTACCAAGACACTTAAAAGCTATGAGTTTTACTAAAACAACCTGTACCTCTACCATAACCCCAAAGCCAAATAATGAGCCACAGCACCCTCTGTTTGCTATCCTTTATTAAGGGGTCCCACATCCTCATGGGACTCCAGCCAAACCAAACAGGTCCCCCAAATATAGCAGGAGGCCTGGAAGGGGAGGGGAATGACTTATGATCCCACCACACCCTCCTGGAAACAGAAACCCACCACAGACAGACAGACAAGGACTGGGGAAGAGAACGCGCCTCTCCCCACTTTGCACCCACTCAAAAAGAAAGTCAAACACTGGCTATGCAGCCCCACCCCCACCCCCCCATAGCAGCGTTTGTGGGACTCCCCCTCCAAGGGGTGGCCCCAAGGCAGCTTCCTATTTGCTCTTCCTTCACTTTGGTTTGCTCCTGGCAACTCCGTGCCCTCTTCCTTCTCTCAGCCTCCAGCTCAGTCACCCCACATCCTACAACACCTACTCGGACCTTCTCTGTCCTCTCTGGGCCTCCCTGCCCGAGGGCTTCTGGGGAAGCAGTGATTCCTGCATCTTCCCTTCTCCCAGCAAGGGCCTGGCCAGACCCTCTCTGCCCAGTGTGTGGGACTCACACGGCTGCCCCACTCTCCTTGAGGTCAGGGGCTGAACGCTGCCGTCTCATTCGCGGGGGAGTAGTGTAYGGTGGGTAACGGGGCCCTGGGGGCCGCTGGGCTGGGTAAGGTTGGGGCTGCTGGGGATAATAATTGTGCTTTTTGGGCTGGAAGTGCTGGGGTTCTTGCTGTGTGGAACCCCCTCCCCGGGATCGGCCCCCTCCATCCAGGGAGTTCCTGCGGGGACGGTGGGACCTGCGGGGACTTGGAGGTCTGCGGGCAGGGGTGGCTGGGGGTGGGGGAGTGACCTCCTCAGGGGGTTGGGGTGGAGCTGGGGCCTCCCCACTTCCCATCCCTGGCCAGGATTCCCGGTGCTGGGGGTTGCTCTTGAAGGGGAAACGCAGCTTGCAGTCGTGAGGGGGCACAAAGCGGGCTGGGGGTCTGCGCAGCCCCCCWCCCCGGCCCCCAGAGCCCTGAAGTCCCTGCAGGCGCAGCTGCTCCTGCTTGAGCCAGCGAAGGCGGCCACGACGGAAGGCAGGATCCTCCTCCATCAGCCGTGACACCCGCTCCCAGCTGGACAAGGGTGGTGAAGGGGGACGGCCGGAAGGTGAGCGGTCACTGGGCGCTGCCTCCTCTACTGCATTTGATCCTTCAGGTGGGGCCCAGGAGACCTCACTGGCTTCTTCATTCTCATCCTCATGATCCTGGAGTGGGTGGGGGTGAGAAAGGAGAAGGGATGTGAGAAGAGCTGAATCCCGAGGATGTGTGGGTTTCAGACAGTAAATTAGAAAGAACTGGAGTGACCAGATATTGAAGATCCAGAGAAGAGCCTGAAGATAAGAAAAGCTAGAAGGTTGTGGTTTATGAGCACAGGCCCAACAGCCAGATTGTCTGAGCTCAATTCTGGGTCTGCCACTTCCTTGCTGTGTGGTCAGATCTTTGCCTTGTAATCTCTGCCTCAGTTTTTTTGAGACTCAGTCATCTGTACAATGACACCAGTAATAACATACCTAGGGATGTTAAAATAATTGTCAGTTATATTACAGATGAAGTATAGAGCAGCTAGGCACAGTGGCGCACACCTGTAATCCTAGAGGCTCAGGAGGCTGAGGCAGGAGGATCATGAGTTCAAAGTCAGCCTCACCAAAAGCGAAGCACTAAAAATTTGAGACCCTGTCTCTAAATAAAATACAAAATAGGGCTAGGGATGTGGCTCAAGTACCCCTGAGTTCAATCCCTGGTGTACACACACACACACCCCACACACAAAATAGAGCAGAGGAGGAGGATAGGAAGTCAGGCAGGTGTGGCTACAGTAATAAATGGATGTCATCATTTCAGTGAAACTCTGAAAAAGTGAGAAGCAAGCTATAGTTGTCTTTGGGGAAACACCTTGGTATAAGGAAGAGCAGGTGTGAAGGCCTTGAGGCTGGAGTGTATCAAACAGTTAAAAAACAAGCTGTGGAAGCTGGTAGGGATCGAGTGGAACAAGAGGAGAGGAGCAGAAACTGCTAGAGAAGGAAGCCTTCGTAAACCTTGAGCCCTGACTACAACTGACTGACTGGTCTCTCCTTGGACAGGAAGCTAGAACAGAGCAGAAGTTGACATGTCAGCTGGGCACAGTGGCTCAGACCTGTAACCCCAGCTACTTGGGAGGCTAATGCAGAATGATCACAGTTAGAGGGCACCTAAGWAACTTAGTGAGACTGTCTCAAAAAGCAAATAATTAAAAAAGACTGGGGGTGTGAGCTGGGATTGTGGCTCAGTGGTAGAGCACTTGCTTCAAATGTGTGAGATGCTGGGTTCGATTCTCCGCACCACATATAAATAAAAAATAAAGGTCCATCAACAACTAAAATAAATAAATAATAATAATAAAAAAGACTGGGGATGTATAACTCAGTGGTAGAGAGTTCCTGGGTTCAATCCCCAGTACTGGGGGTGGGGGGGAGTGTGGTTTAAGTAATCCCAGTGACTGGCACAAGACCTGGCAGACAGCAGGGTTGAGTATACACATGCAAAGCAGGGACAGGGGATAACACTACCACTCAGGGCAATTGTGAGGAGTAAGCCTGATGACACACAAAAAGCATGGAGCACAGACACACTAGAGTAAACAGCCAACCAGGAGGGAGAGGGAGGTTATGAGAATGTAAGCACACCAAGTCTTCAAGCTGCAACTTAACAACTGTGTACTTTGCATTGGTGATTCTCAAACTTTAATTGCACTTCAGAAACACTTGGGGAGCTTATTACAAATACAGGTTCATCCCCAAATATGTAGATTCAGTAGGCCTGGTGGAACCCAGAAATCTGCATTTTTTGTGAGCAGCCTGGTGATTTTGAGGCATAGGATTCCTAAATTCCACTGAGAAAGACTGTTAAATTTCAATAAGCTTTTTTTCCAAACACAGAGAGGAAGGAGGTTGGGATCTAAGGTGGGAGATACAGGTTCTTAAAGGGAAGAGCTAAATGAAGGGAGAAGGAAGAAAGCTCACCAGAGCCTCCCTACCTGGGTCAGGGGGATGACCCTCTCCATGCGGAGCATGCGGTCCCGCAGGGCCTGTAGCTCGCGGTCCTTGCTGCTGTTCTGCAGCTTCACCTCCTGCAGAATCCCGGTCAGCTTGTCTATGTGAGCCCGGAGGTCCTCCACCTCCGCCCCGCGGGCTCCCTCTTCCCCACCGCCACTGCCATTTCCTCCAGATTCCTCCTCGCCCACTGTGTCCCAGACATCCCGGGCCACAGCCCTCCAGGCATCTCCAGGCCCCTCTGGCTTTCCATAGGTGCGACACAGTTCCCTCATCTTGAGGGCGGCCAGGGCCTCAATCTCAGCCCGCCCATGGCGGAAGTCGGCCAAGGCCACCTCATAGCAGATCTCTTTGACTGCTTGCATCTTCAGGTCAGCCATGGTGGCCCAGCGGGGGTCTTTGCCTTGCAGCCTCCGCCGCTGGGGGATCTGATAAACCCTACGAGGGGCCCTGCGTTTGCCACTGCTGGGCAGGCCACAGCGCTTGACGATGGTCTGGACTGTGGTGGGGGGCAGCTGCTCCCGCAAGGAGGAGATCAGCCGCCAGCTCTCTTCACAGGAGCGCTTGTCAGAGTCGTCCCCACTGTCAGAGTCTGCATACTGGGGCCAGAGAGAGAAAAGACAGGGAGAGAGCTAAGGATATCCCAGAGGCCACCCTGGTCCCAAAGACACAGGACACACCTCCTCAGCAATGCATGTACTCAAGTCCTACTCTGCCTTTTACGGAGGACAGGAGGATGCTGGGAGCCTGGGGCCTGGAAGGACACATGGAAGACCCCCATATACCTCTTCTCCATCTCTCTTATGAACTGCTTAACTAGTTGTTGCTGGTCTAAACAGCAGAGATGATGACGGTGTCTACCTTACAAGTGAGTTTTAAGGATTAAACATTTAGAACAGCAACTGGCTAAGTATTAGCGGTAGTTAATTGAGTCTGGAATTTTGTGTATTTATAGTTAGGCACAGCTTAACCACAGGAACACATTCTGAGAAATGCACCAGTAGGTGGTTTTGTCATTATAAGCACATCATAGAGTGTAATGACACAAATGAAGGCACTACAAATTGGTGAAATAGTTTTATGAAACTATCTTCTTATATGTGGTCTATCAATGAAAAACATTATACAGCAAATGACTACTTGGGATAAGGCTTAAAAGTCATTTAAAAGAAAATATGGCTGGGTGTGGTGGCACGTGTCTGTGATCCCAGCAGCTCAGGAGGCTGAGACAGGATGATTGTGGGTTCAAAGCCAGCCTCAGCAACTTAGCAAGGCTCTAAGCAACTCAGTGAGACCCTGTCTCTAAATAAAATATAAAAAGGGCTGGGGATGTGGCTCAGTGGTAAAGCACCCCTGGGTTCAATCCTAGTACCTAAAAAAAAGAAAAATATTATGGTCAAGTGTTTGCCTAGCATGTGTGAGGCCCTGGGTTTGATCTCCAGCACCACAAAAAAAAAAAAAAAAAAAGAGAGAGAGAAGATAAATCTTATGTAAATGACAGTAACTTAAATTCCCTGCATATAACATTTTCCTCCCTGATCACATCTCTGCTAACTTTCCTCCTAAACAAACCACTTCTACCTCTCACCCCACCCCACTTCCCACTCTGGTTCAGAGGATATTCAAAGTGAAGTCAACTGAGGTGACAGTGGCCTCCCTGCTCATCTGCTTGCCAGCCCTCCCCAGGCTCTGTGTGCCTCTACTCTGTTCTTACCAGTCGCTGCTGTTCCAGCAGAAGGTCAGCCTCTTCCTTTTCTTTTCTATACTGGTTCTCCAGATCCTGAAGCCTGGGATTGAGCAGAGTGGGAAGGCAGAGTTGTGGGGGGCTCTGGAGCTACTTCAGTGGGATGCCCGACAACAGGAGGATGCTGGGAGCCTGGGGCCTGGAAGGACACATGGAAGACCCCCACGTACCTCTTCTCCATCTCCAGTTTGATATCAATGCCTTGTTGCTCTAGCAGTTCCTTCTGGGCAAAGTTCCAGTCAACAGGCTCAGAGGGTGGTCCTGGGGGTGGGGGGACCCCTCGTTCGCGTTCTAACCGGGCCTGCTCCGGGTGATTGAAGCGGAAGACATGGTTCTTGCCCATCACAATCCTATTTCCTAGAGATGAGAAGAGAGGAAAGTGACTCCTCTACAGCAGCAAACCCATCCCCATGTTCACAGCATAGAGCTCCTTGCTGTCATTTCCCAAGGGCCATGATACCCTCTGTTTCATCACCCCCAGGCTGAGAGGGAAATCTAAGCTGGCATTCTCCTGGTTGGTCCCAGGAACTCCCCCATAGGGATAGGGATCAGCCAAAAGGAACAGGGACAGGGGGAGCTGGGACAGCAAGAAATCAAGACTTGACTCCTTGATTCTTTGCTTTCTAGCTCCTTCTTCATACACCTACATTGTTATTGATTTATTTCAGGGTCTTACACCCTATGATGTACTCAGAAAGCCCTGCMCTGGGACTTCCTACATATGGCCACGTCCCAGACCCTCACTCTGGGACACATTTTCTACCTGATTTCAGCACCAGTGGTTCTGTCACAAGCTTCCCATTGACGTATGTCTCAGCTCCTTCACAAGGCTCCAGTGTGACCACCACTGAGTGAGCAGAGAGGAAGGGTAAAGATTAGACCCAGGCAAGAGTGGGTTATGRTCACAGATTCCCACTTTGCTTTACCCCCCAAAACACATGCACCACCAGTCCCACCCCCAGTACCTGTGGGGGGTGCCATGGCCCCTCTGGTGGCAGGCAGCACGGGAAAGGAAGAGCAGAAGGAGGGTTAGAGCCCTAACCAGAAATCTCTGCAGTGGCTCCCTACTCACCCACCACCATCCTCCCAGCAGCAGCATAGAAAACCCATAATTCTCAAAAGGCTTCATTTCTCATGCGTAACTGGGCAAAGGCCCTTTCACTTCTGCCTTTCAGATGTCTATTCCTACCTTTCCCTTTAACACTTATCCCTGGCCAGGCCTGAATTCTTCCAGTAGGCTCGAACCCATCTGTCTGATGCATCCTGCAAACTGCCACCTGACTAATCTTCTCAAGCCACAGCTGACATATGACAAGATAAAAGTCATATCACGGTGATCCATGGTACAAATCACTAAGCCTGATGCTTGCTGGAGACACAAAAATGCATGTGGCAGCTCTGTCCTCAAGAAGCTACAGTGACCATTACCAAGGGATCCCCATATCCCAAAGACTAAAGCTCTGTGACTCCTTAGCCAGGCACTCTGAGAAAGTCATGTAATTTCTGGGATCATCTATAAAGTGGGATAATTAAGTCTTTATTTATAGAGTGACTCAAATAAACCATAAAATAATACATAAACATGACTTTTTATTATTATTTACACAAACATGTAATGAATCATAACATCAAGCAGATATTGGGGACTTTGATACAGAGAGGGCAAACAGAGCAGAGAAGAAACTTGGGTTAGGGAAAGAGGCCTGGAAAGGATTATGTGAAAGTGGCGACTTCTGAGTCAATCAATGCTCAGAGGGGGACTAAAATCTCAATGGGCAGAAATAACAGAGAGGAGGAGGACTGGGAGAGAGACAGCTGAGGGCAGCACTATGCATCTGGGAACAGCCATGAGAGAACAGGATGCCAGCAGCTATAAGGGGTGACAGTTTATCCCACCTTTATTCCTTATTTCCTACCATGCCCCAAAATACATTCACTGATTTTACACATATATTGCACCCCTACTCAAGCACTATTTTATTAGATCCTAGAACCTAATAAAGAGGTAAAAAGCAAAAAGCCCTGCCATCACAGAGCTTACCTTTGACTCGTAAGATATAAACAATAAACAAGAAAACTTAAAATCATTTAATTAATTATTAATTCTAATAATTTTTAAAAACAGATAATCTGAAGTCCCCTCTAAAGGACAGGGTAGGTATTGTAGATAGAACACAGGGTCAGTGGGTCAGGGCAGCCTCCTCCCTGTCCTTGTACCCACAACAATCTGGCAGCCCCGAGCACAGCTCACAGCATAGTTCCTRGAGCCTGCCACCCTACAGTTGGAGTTCTGCCATTTTCTAGTTGTGCGGTCTTGGGCAAATTATCTAACCTGAGAACCCCTGTTCAGGCACCATTGAACTATGTGAGAAAATGCACAGGCACAAGTAGATGGTCAGTGAGCAATAATTATATGTCTATGCTGCCCATATTCTCTGCCTGTCTCCAGTCAAGTCTGTACAGACTCAACCTTTATAGTTCCCCCCTTTGGGGCACATACACATTGACTGCTTTTACTGTGATTTATTTAACACTGTTGCCCATGTCTGTCTTCTCCCAAACACCCTGAGAGCTCCTGGATAGTGGGCTGGCCCTGAGGGCTTCGTAAGGCTTTAAAATCTTTCCTGGCACAAGGCTGGAGGGAACCGCAGAACAGGAACTCAGCAATAACTCACTGAACTTAACTGATTCAAGATTTTCAACCAAAATGCTAGAAGCATCTGCTGCCACTGGGGGGCTTGAATCAGACCACAATGACTAAGCTAACCAGACCCTGAACTAAACTGTAACTCTGAACAGAGACACACCTATGTTATAAGTGTCTTTTCTACTCTTTTGAGATGAAGTCTCATTGTTGTCCAGGCTGGCCCCAAACTCCTGAGCTGAAGCAATCCTTCTGCTTCAGCCTCCTGAGCAGCCAGGACCTCAGGTGTGTGCCACCACACCCAGCCAYTTCTTTCTAAAATGTGTGATGGGGCTGGGGATTAGTTGTAGATGCTTGCTCAGCATGCATGAGACCTTGCATTTGATTCCCACTACCATTAAAAATATATACCTTAAATTGCATGAGAATTCTTTTATTGACATCAGACTGGCTTCTACCTTCACCCTTGGAACCTGTGATTCCTGAAAGCTTTATGGCCACATTAAGAGCTAAAGTCTCCAAAAGTTTTGAAACCACAGAGGCACATGAACCCCTTAACCTCAGAAAACTTCATCATCATAGCTTGAAAAWTTTGGGTTTCTCACAGAGATAAATTCAGATATTCCATTAAGATGAAGATGGGTGTTTATATATAATGACCAGGGTGCTATTTGAGGCTAAAAAATTAAGGATAGGAGCATATCCCACTCTCTGRCACACTGCAGTGTTCTATTTCTACTCGAATCCTTGATGCTCCCTGACCATACACAGAGCCAAAGGCTTGGTACCCTCACTACTTACCTATGAGCTCAGAGCCCAGAGTATAAGAATATATTTCCCCCTCTACATGGCTGCACTCCCCAGTGCCAGACCCAGGCCTCTGTGTGGGATGGAAGATAGAATCTGTCTCTATTCTTTTCTGGTCACTCTATTTTCAACCCCTCACACCAATCATTACCTTCTCCATCCTGCTGAGGGATGCTCCGGAACAGACAGTGTTGTTCCCGAATGAACTGTCCTGTCAGTTTGATGTCCACATCTACCTGGCCGACCCTGGGGAAGCAAGGGCCAACATTTTCTGAGCATGTTCCAGACATCTGCCTCCCAAACTCCAATTCCTCCAACTCGATAAGCCAAGCATAATTATTCCCATTTTACAGACAAGGAAGCAAGGCTGGACTGGATAAACACCCTCAGTCATAAACCTCCTACCCACATTTAGGGCTATTTACCCCAAATTCTCTACCCACAAGGCTCACCCAGGATAGCCACAAATACCTTCACTGGGAAGGACAGGGGAACGGAACGCTCACTCTCTTTAACCACAGGAGGCACTAAGCCCCAGGGTTTCATTAGCATTAGCCAGTGAAGCTACCAGCCCTCAACCTCTGAGTTTGCCATGTGGGTACCACCCCCTGACCATGAGCCATCAGAAGCCATCCCCAGAAGTGCTGGATCAGTTTGGTTTCAAGAAACATCTTGCCCTCACCAAATTGGGGGATAGAGGATGGCCACCGAACAGGTGCTCTCAGCAACTTGTCAAGAAGCTGAGAGAGGGCTGGGAGTGTAGCTCAGTGGTAGAATGCTTGCCTAGTGTGTGAAGCCGTGGATTTAATCCCTAGTACCACAAAAAAAGAAAACAAAACAAACAAACCAAAAAGAAAGAGGAAGAGAGAAGGGAGGTGACATTGGGAGAGCAACCAGGACTGTGGGGGCACATGTCCATAGATCTGGGGTTGTGGGTATAGCTCAGGAGTACAGCATTTGACTACAGACACTGACTGATTCCAGTGACCACTAAGAAAGGAAATCGTGCCAGATATGATGTACAACTGTAATCCCAGTTACTTGGGAGGCTGAGACAGGAGAATTGCAAGTTTGAGGTCAGCATGGTTAATTTAGTGAGAACCTGTCTCAAAAAATAAAAAAGGCTGAGCATGGTGGCTCAAGTCTGGAATCCCAAGTAACTTGGAAGTCTGAGGCAAAAGGATCAAGAGTTCAAAAGCAGCCTCAAAATTTATCGAAGCCCTAACCAACTTAGCAAGACCTTGTCTCAAAATAAAAAACAAAAGTGCTCAGGATGTAGCTTAGTGGTTAAGCACCCCAGTCCCCCCCACCAAAAAAAATAATAATAATAATAATAATAGGGCTGGGGGCATAGCTCAGTGGTAGCACATCCCTAAAATTTAATCCCCAAAACTGAAGAAAGCAAGCTAGCCAGCCAGCCAGTCATACTTTATAACCACACCCAAAAAAGAGAAGCCACCCCACAGGCTGCTGGGTACATGCTACCTGGTGATGCCATCTTTGATGTGGTAGAGCAGACATTCAGACATCAGCGGGTCTTCATTCAGGTTCACCAGGTGGGGAGTCTAAGGATGTAGAAGTGAATGATCAGGAGAAGACTCATGAGAACCAGCCAGGATGGTCATAAAGAGAGGAGCTCACATGAGTAAACATAACTCCAGGTTCTCACATTGCCTGCTGCTCACGCTGCTCTCACTCTTGAAGAGTGCTCCCACCCTCCTTTCTGCCCTGAGGAGCATTTTTGATTCTATGGTTTCCACTTCTTATAATAACCACCCTCTCCTCACATACAAAAACCAACCCCACCACCCACCCTTCTCATGTCAGTAACCTCTCCCAAGGTCCTATCTTTTAGGAGGTGCCCCAGCCCACCAGGCTCCCCAACAGGAAGGCTTGGAGCCAACCTGCACTGTCCTCTCTGCCCTATATTCTGCCACCCCCTTAATTTCTTTCCTTAAAATCTATCTTGCAACTTCTGAAGAATAAGAGAAGAAATTGGGTGAGGAAATTGGTACATTCCACCTTTCATTTCATATCAAATGTCTTGTGAGCATAGATTACTTTTATAATTTAATAAAATGTTAGGCTGGGGTATAGCTCAGTGGTAGAACACTTGCCTAGTATGTGTGAAGATCCTGGACTGCATCCCCAGTACCAATCAATCAATAAAACACTTTCCATTTCTCATGGCAGAGTCCCCAGCTTCCCCAGCCACCAGCCCTCTCTGGACCTACTCACCTCAGGCCAGGGTCACTCACCACAGTAACTGCTTGATACTGTTCCTGCCTAACGCCTCTGTGACTAAACTCATCCCAACTACCTAGCTGATCATTATGCTGAAAACCCAACCCATTCCTTTCCTGCAAAGCACCTTTTCCTGATTTGTTTATGACACCCCACCCTCACCAGGCATGAAATTCTGGGGAGCACACAGGTCTTGTTCCCTCCACACCCACTCTGCCACTGGTTGCAAGCCAGAAGTCCTGCTCTCTATGGCTGCAGCCTCGGCCCACAACTGTCCACTCTCTGGCACAATCCTGCTTCAGATATGTCTGATTTTGTGCCCTCTTAGTGGGTCTCCCAGCTTCCTGCCTGCACCACAATGAGGCCACATCATTAATTTTCTACCAAAACCTCTCCAGCTGGTGCCCCATGCCCTCCTGACTAGAGCCCTGCTTGAGTTCCCAAGGGGAACAATCTCCCTCCTTCCCACCTACCCTTACCTCATCTGTCAAAATCATTTACTTCTATTGTGTTGCAAATGCCACTTATTCTGCTGCAAATGCCACTTCTCCATGAAACTTTCCTAGGTCTTCTGACCAAATACAAGATCCCTTGCCTCCAACCTACAAGGATTCACGGTAGGATTTCTACCTCACCATGGTGAGGTACAGAATGGAGACACAAATGAATCAAACACACACTCTGCTGTTCTGTCAGTAAGGAAATCAGTCAACTTTGGGAGATAAGGTGTAGCATGGAAACACCACTCATTACAAGGGGGGAAAATGGATGCCTTATAGAAGAGTTTCTGACATCATGACCTTGCATAGTTTGTTCATTTATTCTTACTTTCCTTCCTTCCCAGGGAAGGAAGTGCCCCCATATTCTGGAAGGGACTTCCATACAGAGAGGAATGAAGTACAGAACTATAGGGGTTCAGGGGGATCAGAGCACTTCATGGCAAAGGCAACATGGGATCTAGTCTGACCCTCAGGTGGGCCCAGACATGCAGAGGGGAGAATGTTCCATGGAAAAACATTCTAACAAAAACATGGAAGCAGGGCTGGGGGTTGTAGCTCAGTGGCAGAGCACTTGCCTAGCACGTGTGAGGCATTGGGTTAAATCTTCAGATCCACCTAAAAATAAACAACAACAACAAAAAAAGCATTCTGTAGAAGCAGAAAAGCATAGTGTATTGAGGCAAAACAACCAGGAGTGGAGGCCCAGATTTCTTTGGAACTCACCCTGCCCCCTAGGGGGTACTCGGGGATGTGTCCATGGTTGATATGATGGGTATCCATGTCTGCCCCTCCCAAGGGACCCCAGGATTGCTGCTGCCATACCTTGCCTAAGGGACACTACCATCCCTATATTGCAATGTCAGGCCTGTTCTGGGACTGGCAAACACTGATTGGATCTGGAAGCAGAAAGGATCTATCCCTGGAGAGAGGTGACATGATTTGGGGCAATGCTTTCAATTTCTGTTCAGCCCTGGAACTCTTTGTTTAAATGAAACCTTATCTGGGAGCCTAGAATGTCAAGCACAGATAAGCACTGAGCCAATCAGGCCCAGGCTGGGGTGAAGAATTGAGTTTGGTCCTCTCCCCTCCCCTCTAGCTATGGCCCCTGTGAAGGAAGCACTAAGCCAGGTTTAAAAATAACTGATTAAAAAAGAAGTTAGGCCTGACAGTAGGGGTCCCAGCAAGAGCAGGCTTTCCCTAAGCGTCCTGGTCCTCTCCAAGACAAACTGTTGCTTTTCCCCAGGACTCAATTCTCCACCCTTCCTTCACAAGATTGGAGATACTCCCACCAAACCTATTTCCCCGGTGAGTCTAACAGCTCTCCCTCTGAAACACATGTGCCTTTTAAACATGAGTTGGGCTGGGGATATAAGTCAGTAATGAAGCACTTGCCTAGCATGTATGAGGCCCTGCATTTGACCTCTGGCACCACAGTAACAAATGAGAATACATTCATCTTCACTATTCTGAGAAAAAATGCAAATGTGAACTACCCCAAGACACCTTTTCACCAATCACACTGACAAAGATCAAAAAGTCTGATGATGGTGGCACCTGCCTGTAATCTCAGTAATTCAGAAGGCAGAGGCGGAAGGATCACAAGTTCAAAGCCAGACTCAGCAACTTAGCAGGACTCTAARCAATTCAATAGACCCTGTCTCAAAATCAAAAATAAAAAGGGCTGGGGATGTGGCTCTGTGATAATGCACTCCTGGATTAAATTCCAGTTAAAAAAAAAAAAAAAGTTTGATAAATCTTAGATGTTAAAAAGGCTAAGGGAGCCAGGCAGGGGGTGCACATGTATAAGCTCAGCTATTCAGGAGGCTGAAGTAGGAGTACTCCAAGTCCAAGGCCAGTCTGGGCAATTTACAGAGACCCTATCTCAAAAATAAATAGGGCTGGGGATATTGCCCCTGGGCTCAATCCCTAGTACCAAGAAAAAAAAAAAAATGTAGTAGAGAGGGAAAAAACGGGCCTCTGTTGTTCTTACAAGTATAAATTATCATGGTTCTAATTTTTAGAGGGCACTTTAGCAATATAAATCACTTTTCTTCTTCTTTTTTTTTTTTTTTTTTTTTGGTAGTAGGGTTTGAACCCAGGACCTCAGACATGCCGGGAAAACACCAAATCTTCACTTATAAGAATCTGTTTAGGCAGACAACACCTCTTTATAAAATCATTCATTGTAAGCTGGGTGTAGTGGTGCATGCCTGTAATCCCAGTTGCTTAGGAGGCTAAGACAGGAGGATTCTGAGTTCAAAGCCTCAACAAAAGCGAGGCACTAAGGACTCAGTGAGACCCTATCTCTAAATAAAATACAAAACAGAGCTGGGGATGTGGCTCAGTGGTCAAGTGCCCCTGAGTTCAATCTCCAGTACCCACCCCCAAAAATCACTCACTGGGGGCTGGGGATGTGGCTCAAGTGGTAGCGCGCTCGCCTGGCATGCGTGCGGCCGGGGTTCGATCCTCAGCACCACATACAAACAAAGATGTTGTGTCCACCGAGAACTAAAAAATAAATATTAAAAAAATTCTCTCTCTCTCTTAAAAAAAAAAAAAAATCACCCATTGTAGCATTGTTCGTAGAAACAAAGAACAGGGGAAACAACGAAATGTCCATAAGGAGGAAGGTGGCTAAATCATATTTCATCTACAGGATGGAATAATCTGACACCATGAAAAAAGCAAAGTAACCTTTAAAATAAAAATAATAAGGTATGCAACCACTACTATTATAAAGAGAGGCTGTGTGTGTACACATGAATATAATTATATATAACACATGACTGTACATGCATAACTACCTCTAGAAAAGTATGTTAGAAACCGATAGTGGAGGTTGCTTCTGGGAGGGGAACTTGAGGGTGGAAAGGACTTACTTTTCACCACATACACCTCTTAGTACTTTGAATGTTCTCTCTTTACCAAAACAATTAAAAACAAACAGGCAGCCAGGTGCAACAGCGCATGCCTGTCATTCCAGTGAGTCAGAGGCTGAGGCAGGAGGATTGGGAGTTCCAGACCAGCCTCAGAAACTTAGTGAAGCCCTAAGCAATTTAATGAGATGCCCGGTCTCAAAATAAAAAATAAGAAAGGGCTGGGAACGTAGCTCAGTGGTAAAGTGGTTAAATCCCCATACCAACAATCAAGAACTCCAGTTTTGATCTCAGAGCTATAGTAGATGGCATCCCTAAGCAATTTTGAGCACACCCCACACCACTTACTTCCACCCAGGGGAGGAAATGTACTCCTCTTCAGTTTCCCCACTCCTTTGCTAATTCTCCATCACTGCAACTGGATGGAAGTGCCCCATAKATAAGCATCCAAAGATGACTGGAAGCCACACTGAGAACCATCTGTAGCCACCATGCCCAAGATGTCACTGGGCCCCCACGGTCTGCTCCCTCAGAAGGACTCCAAAGCCTTGGGTACCCAGCCATGGACCAGGCCTCTCAGCCTGGCCTGCCACTCTTAATTATACACACACAGTTCTCTCATTCCTTCGCTGCAAATTGGGCCAGACAAAGCAAAGTCCTCTTCTTTTTTCAGAACAATGGTTCAATAATCCCTGCTTGCTCAGTTTTCCAGATGGATCTGACCTTACAAAATAAAGTGAGCAATCTTTCCAGTAACCCACCACCTCTTCCTGACAGAAGAACCCAGTGACCCTGTCCGGTCCGCAGCAATGTTTGGACTTACAACCTAATCAGTCTGCTTTGCACCATGGACCAGACAGGCTTGGCTAGTTCCCTGGTGGGACTGGAAGTTCCTGCTCTGCTCAAATTGGCCTTTGCATCACCCCTTTATTGGTATGTACCAGTAGGGCTGTGCCACGCCAGCATCCATTCTGACTAGTGAGTCCCAGTGTTAGCTGGTTAAGTATTTTGAATATCATTTCTGCTCCCAATGAAGTCCAACTACTCCCATCCTGCTTCTTCCTTCCTCTCAGCAAAGTACCTACAACTTGGCAGGCACATGTCAGGTACCTGCAGGTCCCACCCACCCAATCCCACATGTACCCCAAGTTTGCTTAGCCTCACATTGTCTCTATTCCTCCCTATCCCCCCCAAGTCCTGTCCACCTTTCAGGCTCCACTTTTCAAACCAGCTTCTCCAGGGATCTAGCTGCTGTATTTCCAGGCCACTCTGATGCCTCCACCTATGACTAAGCCTGATGCATGGACAATCACTGTTCCACAGAATAGTGCTCACTCTTCCTCTCCCTGCCTTAGTCTTGCTTTCCCAAGTTATCCTTTCAAAACCATAATTTTAGTAAATTTTTCTGAGTTGGAAGCACATGCATAGGGTACAAAATACAAATGATAAAAAAACATTTAAAGCTTTGAAGTCCCTATCCAAAGCAACCTCCAGGTTCTCCCTTTCTCCCAAGGTTAACTACTATGAGCAGTTTCTCATGACTCCAAGATAACTTCTGTGCAGGAACTCACAAAAACACATGTGAAGACCTAGATTCTAAGCTGCTCTTGCAATCCCTTGACAACAGGAACCCAGTCATCCTTCTGTGGGCCTGACTCCTTGGTGGCAGGCACTTACTAAACACTAAACTCTAGCTGATTGTCCAATGGATGAAGGAGAAGGCACAGATGGTGGGACAACATAGACAGGTGGTAGAAGGAGAGGAAACACAGATGAGGAAGGGACAAGTCAGAAATTTCAGAGGAACAGATCTTAGAATTCCCATCCTTCTACCCCAACCCTTTTTTCTAGCATCTAGGGAGCTGCATAGGCCTCCTCACCCGATCTCTTACATACCTTCTTTGGAGAGAAGACACCCACAGTTCCCCCATCCTCCCGGACGGCCACGCCCATCTCAGCCAGCAATGCTTCTCTGTGGGCAAAGGAGAGGCAAATGCCATTCTTATCCTCACTAGCTTGGACCTTCCCTATAGGGCCTGACCTCCTCCTCCTCCCACGACAGTTGCTGCTGCCACCGCCAGCCTCAGCCCCTCACACCTCTCCATCCTCAAGGCTTCTGTCTTACGAAGCTTTTCCTCCCATGTCTCATTCAGCTCAGCAATAATCTTCTCTGTCTCCTAAGAGAACAAGGGTGAGCAGGGATAAGGACAGTGGGGACAAATATCCACCCTAGGGAACATGGTGTTCCTGGGATTCCTTCTTCTTCTTCAGGAAGTTAACTTCCAGCAGCTCCCAGACTCCCATCCCTTGCCAGCTCAAGCTTCTCACCTGCAGCCTCTCCATGGCCTCCTCGGGCCCAATCTGGGGCTCAGCACTGGGAGAAAATGAGGGCTCCAGCTCCCCGTTATGTGCAGGAGGAGAGGAGGGTGAAGCTGGGGCAGGGGGAGATGATACGGCTGGCAGAGCACCTCCGGGACTCCCCTCTTCCACTTTTAGGCCTGGAAGGGAGAAAGGTAAACGAACAGGGCTAAGCTCTATAGCCCCAGCTACTTGGGAGGCAGAGGCCAGGAGTTTGAGACCAGCCTGGGCAACACAGTGAAACACTGTCTCAAAAAAAAAAAAAGTGATTAAATAAAGATGGAATTGATTAGAGACTATAAAAGGCCATAAGCTTCAGAAAGGACTTAAGAAGTTATCTGGGAAACTTCCCACCAGGCAGGCAGTTCTCCTAAGAAGCCTTGACAAATAAGCATCCAACCTCTGTTTCTAACCCATGGATGGAGAGCCCCATTACCGAACAAAACAGCCATTTCTTTCCATTTTTTTAAAATATATTTTTTAGTTTTTGGACACAATCCCTTTATTTATTTATTTTTATACGCTGCTGAGGATTGAACCCAGTGACTCACGCATGCTAGGCAAGCGCTCTACCACTGAGCCATAACTCCAGCCCCCTTTATATTATTGATGACTTTCATGATCAGAAAGTTCTCAGCATGTCATGTGTACTCACTGTTTCTAGCTCTGCCCTCTAGAATAAGAGAGTACGCTGCTTTTTCTTCTGGGAGATAACCCATCAAATGCTGAAGGTGAACATCAATCTACCTTATTCTTCTTTTCCCAAGAACATCCTTAATCCCCCAACTATGGCTCTCAGCACCCTGATATCCTCAATGGGATGGACTCTAAGACTGAATGCAGAGTATCCATACTTGATTCAGCTAACATGGATTAGCATCCTATAACACAGATGCTTTTCCTTTCTTTTCTTTTTCTGATACTGGGATTGAACCTAGGGGCACTCTTTTCACAGATCTATATCCTCAGTACTTTTTATTTTTGAGACAAGGTCTCACTAAGTTGCCCAGGCTGGCCTTGAACTTGTGATCCTCCTGCCTTTGCCTCCCTAGTAGCTGGCATTACAGGCCTATGCCACCCAACATGGATACTATTTCTTATCAGTGAGAAAGATCAGTGCATTTCAGAATCCATTCTGTTGTTGACTGTTAAGCTTATGGTCAACTAAAACCATGATATTTAACAAGAACTTCTATCAAGGCAAGGACTCAGAACACTTCTTAACAATTCACTGTATGAGCCATAAATTCAGAACTGGCCGTTTATTCCCGAACTGTCATTATCCAGAAGCCTGCCAAAGACTTTCCAAATCCTGACTCCTCTGGAGAATCAGTCCCCTTCAGCTCTGTAACACTGGAAGAAACATGTGCCTCTCTGAATATGCAAAGGGCTTCATGGTGGGTGGAGAGAATGCGTGGGCCAGAAAGTGTCTCTGAGCTGCTCCTTGCCTGGAGCCCCTACCTCCCAGAGCAGAGGCTGACAGCCCCTGTGCCATCAGCAGTTCCCGAAGCCTGGCCACCTCCTCTTGCAGCTCTCGGATCAGCCGGGCATTAGGGTCCTCATTAATGACAGCATTGCAGCGGATTTGCTTGGTACGGTCAGCATACCTGGGGCAAGGAGGGAAGATGGAGACTGGTGAAGGCAGGTACAGGAAACCCCAGCTGGCAGCCTGTATCCCGCTCTCCCAGGCCTGTGGGAAGACTGAGGGCTCATCCTGCCTAATGGGAAGGATCCTGAGTGACCAGCCCCTGAGGTCCTGGTGCTTTCTATACACTGCCCCATCCCTGACAGAGCCAGAAGCCCCACCTGAGGGTGCTGAGAGTCTCCTCATAATTGATGTCAGCGGGACTCAGGGCTGCAATCATTGCTGTGCGTGAATTCCCACCTATGAATGGAGAGGACAGAAAAGCTTTAACTGAGCCGGGTCCTTAGGAAAATCAGGTTGGGTGAGGGATCCTCAGTGCTCAGGCAGGGGTCTGATGGAGTCACTGTCTGAGATAAAGTGAAACTAAGAGCTGTGCAGCCAATCATGAAACCTGGTAGCTGTGAGAAGGGGTGAGGTCAGGGAAACATCAGATGTCTATGAGACAGTCATAGGTCCATGGGAGGGAAGTGAAGGCAGCAGTGGGTATGGGGTCAGAGAGGGATCATCTGTAGGCAGGTCAGTAGGTCCTTGACTTGGTAGGAAGGGTTAAGCCTTCAAAGGATATTCCCTAGGTGGGGGGGGGGAGTAAAACTATGCTGACTAGATGTGGATTCTAGGGGTGGCAAGAGAATCTGTTAGCTATATCAAAGAAGTTCGTGGGAATAGTAGCAGAGTTGCGAGAGAGGAGACCCTCACCCAAATTCTCCTTGAGTAGCCAGGTAAGCACTGAATCCCGGTAAGGTATAAAATCTGACTTCCGCTTCTTTGATTGCTGGGGGATGGGAAGGAGAAGGCAGTCAGAGTGGGCCACTCCCTATGCCCCTTCCCATCCCCTTCTCTTCCAACCCCATGTCTCACCATATCTGCAAGGGCTGAGATCACCTTCCCTAGAGTAGTCAAAGACTTATTGATGTTGGCACCTTCCTGGAAAAGGATGAGCAATGTAGAGATGAAATCTTCCTCTCCTAATGGGATCTATTTCCCTTTCTCCCACTCCCTAGTGAGGGTCCTAGGTTATGATCAACAATCTCCCAACATGGCCCTCCAAACTGCCCCCATCCATCCTTCTGAAGAGCCTTACCTTCAGGCGCATGCCCCGGGCCCCTGAGGAGTCAGCTCGCTCGCTCCCAGCAAGGTCCACCAAACTGATCTTACTGACCTGGGGTCAGAGGAAAGAGGCAGGAGGTGAGGCGGATGGGGGTGAGAAAAGCAAATCAAGGGGATCTGGGTAATTAGCAAGGGCTGGAGAAAGCCAGGAGGGGGGCAAAGGAAAAGGATTGGAGAAAACAGAATACAGGAAGACAACAAGGAGGAGCTGGTTACTCATTCATTTGTTTACTTATTCACTTGCCCACTGTATACCAGGACAAGGGACACAGTGGGATCACAGCCCTGCCCTGAGGAGTCTAACAAGGAAAAACAAGCAAACAAGATGCACTGATCTGATTCTGGTGGAATGGTACAGAGGGCTATGGAAATCCCAAGAGGCATAATCCAGCATGTGTGAGGAGGGAAAGCCCAGTCCCTTTCCATTATATCCCTGTCACCATTGTGGGGAAGTCCCTACCTTCTCTGAGTCTAGCCCAGTAAGTTGGTCATGGCTGCGCTGTGTGAAGACAATGGTGAAGACAGCATGGGAACGGCTGCTGGTCTCATTCATGTTGGTGGCAGCCACAGTCCTAGGGAATAAGAAGAGTAGTCACAGGTCCTGCCCCTCTTCTTTCCAAACCTGGCTCCCTTCCCCTCCACTCTGTCAGCCTGCCTTACCGTGCCTTATTTCCGCAGTCCATGAGGTCAGCAATATCTGCATAGGAGGTCACAGCCAGTTTAGACAGGTCCTGCACGTAGGGGCCCAGGATGGGGTGCTCCCGGACTCTCAGAGAGCCCCGACTCTTGGGATTCAAAAGGTCACGTACCCGCTCGCAATAAATCTCCATATAGCTCACCTGAGTAGGAGACACAAATAAGGAGGAAGCCAGCAGAAACACTGCCAGTGAAACCTAACACAGCACAGGACATAGGTAACCATACCTCATGTATACCAGACAGGGATAAGATTCTGCATATGCTAGCTCACTGGGCCACCCACCAACCCTAGGTGAGTCCCAATCATTAGCATTTCACTCAAATACACACTAAGGAACTAAAGGCTGAAATCATTCCTCAAAGGCACAGTTAATAACCAGCAGAGCCAGAATTATATCCCAGGCTGACCCCAGAGATGGCCTCCATATTAAATGCTGTTTTCCTGTCTTCTTGCCCGAAGCAGCAAGCCCCTTCCCTACCTCCCACCAAGACTTGGGCTTACCTCCACAGAATAGGAGAGCTGAGAGCTCTGGTTCTCATTAACACGAGAGAAGAGGTCCTCACAGAGCTGGAGTGGGACACAAAGAAGCATAGAGAAGTTCCTGTTCATGGCACACCTGCAGTGCCCAGCCCCAGGCCAGGCCCTGTTCCAGCTAACTCCTTTCAACTTTTCCCAAAGTCCTGAAGGCAGGGTCATTCCCATTTTACAGATAGGGAAACAACCTGTGAGAGGTTCACACTTGCCCAGGGTCACAGGCTAATATTCAGTGATCCAGTACCCAAACCCAGCAGTCCTGCTGCTGACTCTGGGTACAAGGCCACTGTGCTACATGGCCAGGGAGAATTATGGCCAACTCTCAAATACCCAAATCTAGATCTTTCTATAGTAAATACTTTGTCTATAGTACAGAAGCCCAGAGGAGAACTGTGTTCACAGATAATTATGAAACAAAGTAAAACAACAGCCAAGTGGTAAAGTCGAAACCCAAGGCTCTGACACTAGGGCCTTGGCTCTTATCATAGAGCCTCAATGTTTCTGGAAGGAGAAAAAGACCCCTTCTCCAAAGTGCCCAAGTTGCTCTATTACATGCCCTACCACTAACGACCTTGGAGAACCAGATCTCTACTGCATAATCCTTCCTCCCCTATGGGGCAGCTAAAGATGCTCCTGCCCTGAATGCCCAGCCAGGTCCCAAGCACATACCTGAGGCACGATGCCCTGCTGCCCTGGCTCCTGACGCCCCATCATGGTATAGGACTTCCCAGCCCCAGTCTGTCCATAGGCAAAGATGCACACGTTGTAGCCTTCAAAGGCATGGAGTAGCATCTCTTCCCCAATGTCCCGATACACCTGCTGCTGAGATGCAAACTGGGGGTCCTCAGCCTAGGTGAAAGGGGGCCAGAGAAAGACAGTAGAAGCACTGAATAACTTTGTCCTTTGTGCCTATAGCCTGAGAGTCTTGCCCTTTATCACTAATAACTTCCCAAAGGTCCTGGACACCCCTGCTCCATCATCAATCCTAAAGATCCTATCAAGCCCCTATGGGTCCTAATTATCCCAAGAGATTCTACTCCCCCCTACTGGTCCTAATCAAAACCTAAGGGTCTTACCCGCCCCCACCCAGGGGTCCTCCCCTTCCCAATCCAGTCCCAACCAATCTCCCAGTGTCCCTGTTTCCCAACAATGGCCCCTCCCAGAACCTAAGCCCCTGTCAACCGGATGGTTGAGCTCTTCCCTTGGCTTAGCAATCTCACCGAAGTGTGTGACCAGTAAGAGTAGTCAAAGGTGAAGCTTTTGGGGGCATCCTTGCTCTGTTTGGGATTGATGATGGCTGAGGGGGCAAGGGAGGGCAAAGGAAGGAAAGTCAAAATCAGGTCCTCCCAAACTCTGCATACTTCCATGCAAATCCCTGGGATCCAAGCATCCCACCCCACCTCTGCCCTTGCTCATCTCTCCCCTTTAACACTCCCCACCCCCTTCAGTCACCAAAGCTAATTTTGGCTTCCTAGGACCCGCCCCCACTGAGCTGCCTCTCTGGATTGGGCAATGGAGGGCTCCCAGCCAACATTCCCCCTCCCAGGGACAGGAACATGGAAAGGCTAGCCTGCCCCAACCCCCGCCCTTACAACTAACTCGCACCTGCTCTGTGCCCAGCACAGCCCTCCTTCTGGTTGGGCCCAGCAGGACTGGCCTATATGGTGGGCCTGGCCTTCCCCACTTGTGCCCAGCCAGGCCCTTGGGACTCACTCACAGGTGGTGTTACCCTGCATGCTGACCACACACTTGGCATCCTGGCTGGTCTCACGGGCATTGAAGGGTCGAACCCTCACTGCCACTTTCACCGAGGCACCAGCCATAGCTCCAGACACTCTTGCCCTCCTCAGCTGGAGGACAGAGAAAGGGGTGATCAGAACCACCAGGAAGATTGAGATATTGCCTCCCAGCTTCAAAACCATTTCTCCACTCCCTTCCCCAGCTCCTCAGCCCCTTAAGGATCCAGTTCCTGTTCCCTGATCTTTCTCCCAAATGTCAAGGTCTTGAGGAGCTCCCAAAGGTATTCCTGCTTCTCTGCCCAGCCTTATCCCAGCTTGCAGAGACTTGGGCCATAACCCCAGTTACCTGGCGTCGTGGCCCCAGACCAGGGGTGCTGTATCAGTTCTGGCTGCCACGGGCCCTCGTAAGGAGAGCCCCATCCTATACTCTGGGCCTGGCCACACCAGCAGGAATTGTGGGAAAACCCTGGTTGTGGGAGAAGAGTGGTTAGGGGGCACCTATGGCTCCAGAGGTCTGTATGGGGTTCTTCATTTAGAGGGCAAGGGGTATTAGGAAAGGTAAGGAGACTGCCCCTCTGGAGTAGCTGAATGCAATGTGAATCCAAGGGCAGGGACCGTGATATTTTTATTCCTCAGTCACTCACAAGTATACTGAATGCTCAGATAGAGGAAGGAAAGAGAGAGAGGGAGGGAGGGAGGGAGGGAGGGAAAGAGAGAGAGGGAGGAGCTGGACAGAGGGCAATTCAGAGAGGGACACATGGGCAGAGACACTGAGGACAGCGGGAAGGGGGAGAAGAGGAACATAAAGTCACAGACACCAAGAAAACCAGAAAAATAAAACAAAAGGCAAGACTGAGGTCATGCTATGGAGGAAAGAATGGGAGGAGGAAAGGAAGAGATACAGGAATATCAAACCCAGAGACGGTCAATAGCAGGGAGTGGGCTCAAGGAACAAACTACAGGAAAGATGAGAGAACAGAAAATCTAACCAATAATTCCCCTTCAGGGTCAGCAAGGAAGAAGTAGAAAGTTGCCACCTAGAGCCCACCACTTCTAAATATGAGGTAAAGATTATTGCTGAGGGGCAAAGTCCAAGGGCTGGAGGTACAGCCTGGGACTCAGGCTCCACAGGACCTGCCTTGTGAGCCCCAAACCCCTTGCCCAGCCCCCAGCACTTCCTCCTCAGGATCCAGGACAATGGGCAGGGGAGGGTGGAGTCATCCTGTATCCATCATACCAACCCCCAAGGCTCCATCGCTGGAGGACCTAGAATACCTGTGTCTTTGAAGGAGAGGACACTGGGAACCTCCTTGAAGGAGGGAGAATGTGAAGAAGCAGGCTGATCCTAACCCCAGCCTGGAGCTAGTGCTAAGGCATCCACTGGGGAAGGTGCCAGGCTGGAGCCCAGGAATGTGGGTGATCGGGTGCCCACGCCCTGGGAGGAGAGGCTGAGTAGCCCACGCCCACGGACAGAAGGGTGAGGATTATGGAAAGGGATCTTTGCTGGGCCCCAATTTGTGGCCCCAAAGGACCTCAAACCTCTGTCATGCCGGGCCTTACCTCACTAGCCTTTCTGGGTAGAGCATGGGAAGGGTGAGGGGTTGGTCTGTCCCAGGACAGGAAGGGAGTAGCCTAAATCACAGAGGCTGGCTCAGGAAGAACAGCCCTGACCCCCTAGACCCTGACCAAGGGAGGGAAGGACACTGCTGAAGACATGCAAGGGTGACGCTATTGCCGCTAAAAGAGCAGAGAATGGGATGTCACGGCTAGACGACAGCGGGGTAAAAGAATAGGGACTAGGTACAGGGTCTGCGGGTGTCGCTTTAAGGGCACAGGGGATACAGGGAGGAGCCGGCGGCTGGGGTGGGGCCGACTGACCTGAAAGGGGGCTTCGGGCCACCTGCACCTTGCCTACTCCGCAGTTCTCCTACAGGCCCCCGCCGGGCCTCTCGGAGCAATCATGCAGACCCTGTCCTGCTGTCCAGCTAACCTACGGCTGCCCGGGGCCTGGCACCTCTCTGCGCCTCAGCGGGACAAATAGCACATGATCGCAGCTCTCGAGCTGTGCCGGGGCCCGCCGGGCAGTGCAAACGGGACCCCGGCTCCCCGCCCCCCAGCCCGGCACATTCCTCCGCGGGCGTCCCTTCCCTTCCCCCCACCCCCACCTCTCACCTCGTCGCGGCGGGGCTCCGGGAGCAGTCAAGCGGAGTGCAAAGGGACAAACTTTCCGGGAAGCGTGAGATGGGAGCAGGGAAGATTCGGGACCGACTCGGGGCTGCCCCCGCCCCTCGCCGGGTCCCCGGGCGGCGGGCGGCGGACTTGCGCCCCGGGGGCGGCAGCAGTAGCGGCGCCAGCGGCCGGCGCCCGCCCGGGCAGCGCGAGCTGGGGCGGGAGCCAGGGGCGGGGGACGGGCGGGCGCGCGCACGCTGTCCCGAGAAGAGGCCAGGAGCCACCCGGCTACCCTTGTTAAAGGGGCAATGCTCCCGGACTGTGAGCCCCCCCGGGCGGGGACCTGAGAACCGAATTACGGACACAGAAGGGCTAGCCGGACTTCGAACTTTGGAAATTACGGGCTCCTGAGGAGCCGGGAAAGGTGGAGGCGGACCCTACAGGGGACCCAGGCCCCGGACCCGCGCACGTCGCCGCGTCGGAGGCGCTCCCGGAGGGGCGGGGGCGCGCCTGGGGGGCGGAGCCACATAGCAGGCTCCTCCCCGGGAGGCGGTTCAGTCTATGCCCCGCCCCCAAACGCGCCTCGCGCGCGGACACCTCCCTAGGCCTGGATCCCGGAGTCCGCCGTCCTCCGCGTTCAGCCTGTAGTTCTAGAATTCTCAGCTTATCTTCCTCAGGTGCTGTGGCCAAGCGCGGACGCCCTCGGCGGCCCAGCCACCCAGTGTTTTCTCCTGGTCCCCAAGTTCGCCGTCCCGGGTCCCCCGCCTCAGGCCCAAGCAGCCCCTTCAGGTCGTGGTGCCCTCTGGAGCTGCAGCTGCCCGCCCAGACAAACAACCTCTGCTGACTCAGCCTGTCTACTTCAGGCCGAGACTGCCCCTCAAGCAGGGGCCCACCACCTCAGGGCCAGAGGGATTCTTTAGGACCCCCCAATTATGCCTTCCGGCCTAGCTGCGCCCAAAGGTCCAGCCAAGACCCAGTGCACCTACCTGGGGTCTCGGTGGCCCCTCAGGCCTCAAGTCTTTCCCTTCAGGGAGGTAGTGGCTACTCTACTACCAGACTGGCTCCTGACTCCTCAGGTCCTCATCCACCCTCTCAGTCTTGGCTTGCCCTCCAAGGCCTTGCCTATCCCTGGGTCAACGGTTGAGGGATCCTTTTTGCCCACTCCCACCCTCACTCCCACTCCTGACCCAGTACTGATGATTGAACCCAGGGGTGCTCTTCCACAAAGCTACATCCCCAGCCCTTTGTATTTTTTGTTTAGAGACAGGGTCTGGCTAACTTGCCCAGGCTGGCCTTGAACTTGCCATCATCCTGTTTCAGCCTTCTAACTAGCTGGAATTACAGGTGTGTACCACTAACCTGCTCTGTCTGACTTTATTAAGCCCCGTCCTGTCCCTGATAGGCGACCCCACATAAGGTTTAAATCCCCCTCAGAATGCTCTCAGCTCCCAGCTGCCACTAGGTCTGTCCCAGGATATTCCATTTAAATCCCACCTGCTCTTTCAGCCCCACTCTATCCTATCAGCCACCTCATTTTTTTTTTAACCTCAAGTAACTTTTTTCTTGACGCATCCCTATTTATTCTTGGATAAATACTTGTTCAGCTCCAACAGTTTCCAATTGGCTTTTTCTGTTTTTGTGTGCAACCCATATGCATTTTTCTCTCTCATCTAGGTTTCTTTCCCATCTCTACCCCAACCCCATCCTCCCAGTTCTGGGGATGGATCCCAGGGCCTCTGGCATGCTAGGCAAGAGTTTAACCATTAAGCTATATTCCTAGTGCTCATTTAATTTTTTCGGGTTTTTTTTTTTGTTTGTTTGTTTGTTTTTAGTTGTAGATGTTTTGTTTATTTATTTTTATGTGGTTCTGAGGTTCAATCCAGTGCCTCACAGGTGCTAAGCAAGCACTCTACCACTGACCCACAATTCCAACCCTCATTTAGTGTTCTTTTTTTAAATTTTTTTAGCTATAGGAAGACACAATATTTTACATTTATGTGGTGCTGAGGATTGAACCCAATGCCTCATGCTTTCTAGGTGAGTGTTCCACCTCTGAGCCACATCTCCAACTCTCTCATTTAGTATTCTTAACTACCTTTTCTACCCACCCCAACTGGCTCTCAGGTCATCTTTGACTGCCCCTAAATATGGCTCTGTGCAACTGACCTCCCTGTTCACCTATTTGCACAAAGACATTCGTAACTGCCCCTCCATTTCTGTCCCCAATGTATCACTCTGTCCACACTTCCACTTACCACACTCATACCTGATTCATTTACCAGCCTTCAAATTCTGTTATTTCTCTAACTATCCTTAACCACCAGTTCTGTGCCTACTACCCCCAATGCCTCTGCCCATCCAATCTCCCCTTATCATCCTTTTTCATTGAATTATCCCATATTACCTGGCAAGGCCCTTAACTGCCATCTGTAAATTTTACTTACTTAATATATTTAGCTTAAGAAATTTCTTTTCCCTTTTACCACATCTATCCTTCCTGTACTTACCATCTTCAACCTGTATGTTTAATTAATAGTCCAGACTTGGGAATATCTTTTCTCCACTGCACCCCCAGTCCTGGGGATTGAACTCAGGACTTAGTGCATGCTAAGCAAGCACTTATTACTGAGCTCCATCCCTAACCCTAAAAATACCTTTTAAGCTGTCTGTTTTCAGGGTCCACACATTCTCTTATAAATCTCTAAATCTGCTGCTGGTCTCATCCCTACAGCCCTGAGAAAATGTTTCATTTTCCATTATCCTCCTAGCACCAAGAAGGAAACAGTCCAGGTACCCACCAGTCCAGTCATGCAGGTACAGGCAGATGGAGACAATCTCATCCCCTTTGCCAAGTGAGTCCTCCCTGCTGGGTGTGGGGGATGAAAGTGGGATGGAGGGAAGATTGCATGCCTAGATTCTTCTCTGCAATGATAGGGATATAAGGAACAGGAAGCTCAGCTTTGTGTCTGGGCTTGGGAATTGATGGTTCATTGATTTATTCAACGGATAGATTTTATTTATTTATTTATTTATTTATTTATTTGGTGTTACTGGGGATTAAACCCAGGGGTGCTCTGTCACTGAACTTTACTTCCAGTCCTTTTTACTTTTTGACACAGGGGTATCAAATCTGGTTTTGTACTTGTGATCTTCCTACCTCAGCCACCTGAGTCACAGGGATTTCAGGCATGCACCACCAAACCCAGCTCAACAGAAGGCTTTTAAACTTTACAATATTCTGTATTAGGCACTGGGGATTCAACAATTACCTATAGGTACTTCACTCAGAGAGCTTACATTCTAGGGTAGGGAAGACATAATATATAAACAAATATAATTTCAGCTAATGTTGAGTATCATGAAAAAAAAATAAAACATAAATGGAATATAAGGGAAAATAGCAGGTCTTGGGGGATACAAGGTTAGAAAGTGTGATTGTAGGGAGTTGAACTTGAATTGAGATCTGAAAAGTAACAGGGAGCTAGTCTAGAGAAGAATTGGGGCAGGGGGGGGTAGTAGGTTAAGAAAAGCCCCCAAGAAGGAAAAAAGCTTTGTGTGTTCTAGGAACAGGAAGCAGGCCAATGTAACTGAACTTAATAATCAAGGGAAGAGTAGAGTAAGATCAGAATCACCAGTCAGAGGCCAGATAATTTGGAATGTTGTACACTATAGAAAAGAGTTTGAATTTTATTCTAAAGCCAATAGTAATCAAAGGCTGAAGATGTGGCTCAGTTGTAGAGTTTAATCCCCAGCATCAGACACACACACACACACAAAAAAAAAAATTGAGGTAAGCAAAAAGTATGTCTAAGCAGAGTTTTTTCTTCAGCTTTTTATTATGGAAAATTTCTTTTTTTCTTTTTTTTTAAATTTTATTTTATTTTATTTTTTTTTAAAGAGAGAGTGAGAGAGAGGAGAGAGAGAGAGAGAGAGAGAGAATTTTTAACATTTATTTTTTAGTTCTCGGCGGACACAACATCTTTGTTTGTATGTGGTGCTGAGGATCGAACCCGGGCCACACGCATGCCAGGCGAGCGCGCTACCGCTGAGCCACATCCCCAGCCCTGGAAAATTTCAAATATAGAACCATAGAAAATAGTATCATGAACTGATGTGCCCTTTTCAGTTATTTTCAATAATTATCATTATAAAGATAATCTTTTCATACCCATTTACCCCCACCTTCCCAGTTTATTTTAAATATATCTTAAAGCTTGTATTACTTCACATGGTCATATTTTAAAAGATTACTCTCATTGCTCTGTGCAAAATAGATTGTGGGGGGATGAAAATGGAAGCAGGGAGAAGAAAAGGAGAAAACCGTTGCAATAGTTCAGGAGAAGATGATCTGGAATATAGCAGTGGAATGGATATGGTGGAGAGTGGTCAAATTCAGGTATATTTCAGATATAGAACTCATAGAACTTGCCAAAGGATTGTAAGGTAAGGGAAAACATATACTAGGTCTTTGGCCCTAGTAACAGGACATTTGGAATGCCTTTTAGCAAGGTGGATAAGGCTGGGGGCTATTGGGTGATATTGAGTAGAACCCAGGGATGAACCAGGGTTGGAAAAATAGATTTGGGAATCATCAGCACATTGATGGTATTTAGTCATGAGACTGGGTGCGATCACCTAAGGAGAGATGGAGATGCAAATATAAAAGACACCTAAAGGGCCTAACCTCCAAGACATTATATCATTATATTACTTTTTTTGGGGGTACCAGGGATTGGACTCAGGGGTACTTAACCACTGAGTCACATCCCCGGTCCTTTTTATTGTTTTTTATTTTGAGATAGAATCTTGCTAAGTTGCTCAGGGCCTCTGCTAAATTGCTGAGACTGGCTTTGAACTTTCAATCCTCCTGCCTCCTGAGCTGTTGAGATTACAAGCATGTACCACCATGCCTGGCAGGACATTTAATAAAGATCAGAAGGGCTATCATCATTCAATCTGGAGGTTTTGGAAGTAGAAAGCACTATTCCTTTTTTTTTTTTTTTTACATTTTTTATTTATTCTTTTTAGTTATATATGATAGTAGAATGTATTTTGACATATCATCCATACATGGAGTATAACTTCCCATTTTTGTGGTTGTACATGATGTAGAGTTATACTGATTGTGTAGTCATATATGAACATGGGAAAGTTATGTCCGATTCACTCCATAGTCTTTCCCATTCTCATCTCCCCTCCCTTCCTCCCACT